ACGCATATCTGATATTCGTTCTGAATCTACTTTGGGGTTCTCCCGGCAGTAAACCCATTAGGTTCTACTGCACTGGGAGTATGAGCACGTTCCGTTAGAGTTTTCCAGATGTTTTATGACACTAGTACAAATAATTATGAGCAGGAAAGTTTTGAAGTCTTAAATACAATTGTCATGACATTACTTGTCAGATATTTTATTGCCTTACTAAACGGAGTCTCTTATTCTCAAACAGTTAATCTAGTCTATTTTTAATTTACGTGTAAATTATCTGATATTTTCTAGATCTCTCCAATGTTGTTAATATATTTATATATATTACATAAATAATATCGATTTTCATATTGATTCTCATAGCTCTAAAAGATTTGATATAAAATAACAAATTGGATAACCCATCTCTTGAAATGTAACTAATCAAATTTAGTTATAGACGATTACTTCAAAACTCTAACTTCTATTTCTATCAACTATTTTTGATATATTGTATATTAATTGTTTGATAACCATCTCAGACATATTATGTATATGGATTGTGAAAAGGACACTGCTGGTCTTAATTGACAAGTTGATCCTACACCTTACACATGATTACAAAAATATTTGAAATTGTCATAATTTTTTCCATTTAATCCATTGTTATTGGTTATCGGACACACTCTAATATGTAAATTAATAAATTTAAGATATAATTCATAATAAAATATAAACTAATTATGTAATTTATTGATTTCTGTCAATATATTTTAAAATTAATTTTGTGATTAATAATGCTTAGTGCTCAAAGGAAAAGCGTTCATATTCTAAAGTACTGTAAGATTAAGACTTGAAAACAACCTTTGTATATGTACATATACTTCTACTATTGTCTGCCTTTTATCAGCGTATATTTTTTGAAGAAATAGTTATACATAAAGGAATGCATGTCACTCAAATATAATTTGCCTTAAAATATATTGGATTTGTTTATTCTTTTATTGAACTTGATTATCATCTATTGTATATTTATACCAGTTTTTATTCTATTAGAAATTTGTATTATTCTCGTGATAATTTATTGCCTTATTTTTAATTTCAAATAATAAAATGAATTATGCCTTTCCTTCATCATGCTCATCTCATTAACTTTTTATTTGAAAAATCACAAAATCTGAAAAATTAAAAAGACTTTATAATTCTAATAAATAACTAATCTCAATAATAAACTTTAATAAAATTCCAAAACTATTCACTCTTAAATGTTCCTATCCAAATTTTTAAATCTTGAACACTATATCAATTAATTACATACATTTTGCTTAATTTTAAGAAGATCCATAAATGTTAATTAATCTCGCTATTAGCTTTGAACTCTTTAAGCATTTATTATATTGTGGGTATACTCGTTTATACTTATACTTATACTTATATACTGTGGTTTCATAGTGAAACGTTTTATTTTAGTATTTCTAATATTTGATAACTAATTTTTACATAGTAAAAATAGCAGCTATTTCTTATATTTATTCTCATATTTATAATATAGTGACAACAAGAGGCGGTTAATAACTTTGAAAAAACAAAATTAATTGACACAATAAATATTCTATTCATCAATATTATGACAATGATTGCATGTTATTTATAATTGTCACCATATACTAATCTATATATACTTATAATATCTAATTGGAATAAATAAATTGCAAAGTATAAGACTATTTTGTAATTTAGTGATACTAATTTAAATTAATATAATTAAGATATTATTACAATTAATATAAAAAATTGAAAATTTTTTAAATAGTTTGTTAAATATTATCTTAATTTCTATATACATATATTCAACAATATATATATATATATATATATATATATATATATATATATATATATAATTCATATGTTATAGACCTATGTACAAGACTGGATTCATCTTGAATCAATAAATATTTATAATATGCTTGTACATCAAAAAGGACATTTGTATGTATGCGGTGACTGTACAATGGCTGAAGGTATTTACCAATCTCTCAAACAAATTATTAAAATTCATGGGAAAATGTTGGATGAAGAAATTGAAACGTATATGTTATCTTTAAGGGTAAGATTTTATATAATTAACTTTATATAATTAATTTTATATAATTTATATAATTTTATATAAAAAACTTTCTCATGTTTAAACATTCAATGTATTTTAATATAAAACTAAAAATAATTTAATAATACACATATTTTAAGTTTAAATATTATGAAATGCATTGATCGATTTTATTTTTTCAAATACAATATTCCCTAATGCATATCTATAATGCGAAATATATTTTTAAGTAGTATTTATAAACTGATTTTAAAAAATATATTAGAATTAATTTCAAAAAACTTATAAGTAACTGTTATATTGTTTAGAATTCCATTCTTCCGAGTCAAAGGACTAAAATGTTTAGAATGTTCACAAGTTTACTGGTGGCAAAAAAGTTTGGATAAGTGAAAAGAGTAGTGCTTCAATTCGCTATTCAATATATCTGCTTTTCGTGCTTGTTTATTGCGTTTTGTTTAATTTAGACTATAATGATTCTACGTTGACTATGAGAATCGCTGAGATCTTACCATTTCTTGGTTGTTGCCACGTGATGTTAGCATGTACTACATGTAGAAGTAGGAGGTCGTAAGTCTCTGGATCCTCTTGATGCGTTGCGCTTGATACTTATAGTATATTGAGGCTTACTACACGGAGAAGTGGGAAGTCGTAATACGCGTGTCGTTCCTTGATGTCGTTGTACGCTCGAGCACTGTGCGCGAGGTTCAGAGTTAGTCTTATATTGTGGAGGTTGCTACCATCTCACTTGAATATTTCTTGAACTGAATTATACAGTATCATTACGTCGTTGATTTCTTCTTCCAACACTTTTGCCTGCCGGTTATCTAGTTAAATGCGCACATAAAACTGAAGCTAAAAGAGAGAAAGAGAGAGACTGTTCCATGGCCGTCCTTGTAAGACAGACCGTGTTTCTTACATGGCGTCTTTGCTGACATAAGGAGAGCTATTACGTAAGTACGTGGTGTACTTGCCTCAAATATCCACGCGGCAGCTTAGTTAGCTAGAAACAATGGATGTGCTTGTGGATGACTTTTTCCGGATGCCCATCGACCGTTGGAGGTTCTCCCAGAAATTATAAAATTTGAAGTTTCCCAGAAATGATACCATTCGAGGGGTTCTCGAAATCTCAAACATATATTGATTTCATTAAGTCAGCGAAAATTTTAGATTTGTTATTGTTTAGGATTGGCGCACCCAACAATAAACTTTAATTTCATGACATTTAAATCATGATAATTCGCAATATCAAGAAAAGTCGCGAAGAAAAATTATCAGAAACATTCAGAAGCCGTTTCCTTAAAAAGTCCTACAACTTTCCGCATAGCAACTACGGAGAAATCACGAATCGGCAAAAGCTTACGTTCCAAAAATTTAACAGAATATCCTAGAATTGAAACTCTCTCGGCATACGATAAAGCTTCGGCATAGCAACACCAAAGGTATTAGTGCCAGACTCTATGTGTCTATGCGACCATATATAATGAGCAACGAACGTCGAAGAAAGTAGTCTTGTTGAGTGAGTCAAAGTGAAATAGTGCAAGTCACACCTAGTAAAAGTCTTACACATCTACAGGAATCCGTGCAAGGTGCAGTATTTATTAATATCATTATTGTTGCTCAGCGCAAAAATTATCTGTAAGCCGTCTGCAATTTGATTCTTATCAGACCGCTAAGAAGGCACCGAAATTGCTTGGCAGCTCCTGCAATTAATATCATTCATTGCTGGCCAACGCATAAATTAGCGGTAAGCCTTCTGCAACTTGATTCTTATCATACCGCTAAGAGGGCGCCACCTGTTACCTTGCGCCTTTCGCAACTAATTACCATACTATTGTTGCCAGGCGCATCTCGCTCGCGGCCAGACCCAGCGAGAGTGATACTCACTCGTACCGCTTATAATTATAGTTATAGTACCCATTATATTCACTAAAAGACTGGTCGATATATCTCGCTAATGAAGCTACGCCATTGGTCACGCCTCTCCAGCGAACTTAACTCTCATAACTACTGTAAAAAGGCATCGCTACGGTAATATGCTTACAGAGAGGGAGAGAGAGAGAGAGAGAGAGAGAAAACGATTTCCATACTACTGCCACAAGGGCGCTATGATTGCAACACGCCCGCAAATAAGACCAGTATCACCTCACACACCCAGACGACGTCCTGCAGTTTCATTGCCAACAGTCAGGATTACATCGAGCTCAATCAAAGTTACGAAAAACAACTGTCTTTGTACTGAATTGAGCGAGCCGCCGCTGTGTAGCCGCCGATTGTTAATGTGAGCGTGATGAGCCGCCACTGTTTAGCCGTCGCTTGTGTATCTATTCGAGATTGTAAGAGGGGTCCTTGGCAATAAAGACATCTGGCGAAACACTATCGTAAATTTGTCATTTAAGATTTCGGAAATTTCTTGCTCACAACCATCTAGCAGTAGTGTCGTAAAACATCTGGAAAAACAAGATAATAAACTTGGGAAAATCCAACTCATTAACCATCTGTAAGGAATCGCTTCGCTCGGTAACTAAATTTAAGCGGTATGTACTGGCAACCCCCCTTTCCGTCTGTCATGCTGTCAGCATGGCATTTCTCTTGCAGCTACCATAAAATCCATTGAATATCGCTGGGATGTAATTTATAAGTATTCAAAACTATTGAACGTTTAAGGAAAAGGCGTGAGCCTTCTCCCGACATGCCCATAAATTCACAATTCATCTTCTGGATAAAGGCAACACAGGTTGTTTATTTTTCCCATGAAATCAAGATGTTTGAGTCAAAACATAAACTGCAAAATGGACACGCATTCCATCGCTTAACAGCTTATATCGATTCGCAAGGAGTCATCTGAGTAGGAGGACGACTAATGAATTCTTCTCTCGCATACGAACGAAAACACCCTGCAATTTTGCCACACCAATCGCGATTTACGGATCTTGTAATAGCCCAGGCTCATAAACGGACACTGCATGGAGGCACCCAACTCACCCTAGCGCATACACGACAGTAGTATTGGATTCTTGGAGGCCGTCAAGCAGTAAAATCTCACACTCTGCGATGCGCCATATGTGCACGACAGAGAGGAATCTGTCCCCAATATATGATAGGACAATTACCGCTGTCGCGAGTAACACCATCAAGACCATTTGCGTATACGGGTGTCGATTATGCTGGTCCTATAACCCTGAAAACATGGAAGGCAGAGGCGCAAAGACCCAAAAGGCATGGATTTGTGTTTTTGTATGTTTCGCCACATCTGCTGTATACCTTGAAGTGGTCAGCGACTATTCAACAGATGGCTTTGTAGCTGCCTAACGGAGATTCTCTTCTCGCAGAGGCATCCCACACACGTTGCATTCAGATTGTAGCACCACGTTTGCAGGAGCAAACAAGGAATTAAAAAGGTTATTCTCACGGAGATCAGAAGAGCATCATAAAATTGCAGCGCTAACCTCACAAGACAATGTTCAATGGAATTTTAACCCACCAGCTGCGTCTCACATGGGAGGAAAATGGGAAGCAGTAGTGAAGTCTACAAAATTTCATTTACTGCGCACAATTGGAGAAACGCTACTTACGTTGGAGGAACTTACGACTCTCTTGACTCAAATTGAGGCAATTTTAAACTCAAGACCAAACTAGAAGCCTTAAGTGACGATCCAGATGATTACGCTGCCTTAACTCCAGGACATTTTCTAATCGGATGTCCACTTACTACAATACCTGAACCATCTTTAGACGGATTGTCAATATCAGGATTGCGCCGTTGGCAATTTATTCAACAACGTGTCCAGTAATTCTGGTCATACTGGTCATCTTATTATTTACAACGACAGTAATCAATATCTAAATGGCACCATCCAGAAAACAACATAAAGGTTGGTTCACTAGTACTCATCACTGATAACCGATTTCCACCATGTAAATGGCCTCTGACAAGGGTAATAAATATCCTCCCGGGCAAGGACGGCTTAACCAGAATAGTCACTGTAAAAACAGCAACAAAGATCGTCAAACGGCCCATACACAAGCTAGCAGTTCTCCCAATCTGGCAAGCAACATCGTAAAATTTGTATTTAGATTTCAAAACTTCGCTTGCTCAAAATTCTCACGCATTAGTGACATAAAACATCTGGAAAAACAATACCATAAACACGGGATAACCCATAGTTAGACATCTGCATTTTCGTTCCGCTACTACTTCATTCCGGTAACTACTTCAAGCATTACTGCAAGCGGACCTTCCTTCCCCTTCCCGCTGTCAACAAGTTGCAATGCTGTCACCAGATGTGTCAGCGATGCCCCCCCTTTCCGTTGTCTACATGCTGTCGCATGCGGCAGCAGCAATAAGAGATCTGCTAATCATGAAGACCCAGAGACAACTAGGCCCTTAATTAACTCCGAAGCCAAAAGAGGCGCTGATTGGACAGAAAATAAGGGAAGGGGTTCGAGTAAAATTCATGGTCAGCAAATGTATTTAAGGGGCGCAATTTTCAATACTTATTTACTCTTGATACTTAACTCTCTTAATACTTATCACTCGTGATATTTAACTGTCTTGATATTTACTCTTGATAGTTTTTCTTTAGTAGTATTCTCGTGATATTACTCTTTTTTGAAGTGTCCTTCCTTTTTTATATCTCTCTTTTAGTAATACTCTCTCAATATATTAAACGCTTGAGACATTTCATACTCAGTTAAGTTTAGTGAAAGTCCATTTAACACTATTTTGGGAACGACTTACACTTCTTCGGATTATCCATTAACACTGTTACTGGAACAGTAGTTACTGTCCCGAAAGAACTACGACAGAAACCCGTATGTCCACTAACGCAGTTCAAGAAACCGTCGTTACTTGTTCTAAGGGAGCTACGACAATTCGCCTATCAGAGTCCGAAGACGAGTCAACGATTAGTCTTTGTAAGTAGTCTCTACTACAATAATTACATATATATTGAAATTCAGAGTATTACATTGACAAGTACTAAGAACGAGAAAGCTACTCT